GTGAACCTTACGAAATGCAGGGAACACCTGTACGTGGTTTGTCTGTAACAATAGTCAGAAAGGATTGTCAATGTTGAAAAAGAAGGGATTGTGCAGACTACATCAAACCTAGAAACTCCTCCTTGCAGTCTCATTCAAGATAACAAGCCTGGGTAAAGGAGGAGGCTTGTAAAAAATCCCACTGCTACAGAAACAAAGGCAAAGGCTACTGACACTATGAGAGGTACTGGAAGGGAAGAGATAGGCGGGAATGGAAGTGGACTTAAAATCTGTACCGAAAGGCTTCTGGAAGTGTGGAACAAGCTACTGATACCCTGGCATCCTTCTAGAAACAATTGGATAAGATCCTTGGATCAATGAGGTACAACCTGCAAAATGGGCTAACTTTGCCAAAAGGCCTCCTCTGGTTCGAGACAGCTGTTATGTGCTTCTCTTACACCTGCCCAGTGTGGGCTACATCTGCCTGTGTCTCGGCATGGCCAAGATCACAAGGGAATGAGCTGTCAGAGCCCAGCAGAAACAGCAGCTTACCGATAGCATTTACATTTCACAGTCCTTATACATGGGTAATCCCACTCAGTGTATCTGCTGCTCTACTGTCTCACAGACTTCAGAAGGATCAATATGTACATCAAAGGTTATGCAGAGGTAGCCACATTCTTTGAAGGCTGTTTGCGCAGAAATCCGTTTGCTGAACTAACACTGGCTAGAATTTCTTCCAATAACCCTGTTTGCCTAGCATTAACCCTGTTTGCAGAAACACCTAGCAGATTGGATTGGAGAACAAGCTTGGGCTTTTTTTTTTCCAAACAGTTGAATGCATAAGCCAATCAATAATGCCAGTGGCTTCTCTGATATGTTTAGTGATTCCTGCCAAATCTAATATTTACGTAACATTCTATTGGCTGTAACTTCTTGGAAGCACTAAAAAAAAGGACAGTATTTCTCAAAACGAAGAAAAGACTAAAGGTTACTTCTAATATTTTGCTCTTGTTGCCAAGTGCAAACAAGTGGGGGAATTATGATAGCTGACTGGGGGAGTGATAACAAACAATGTAATCATTGTTTTATTGGTTTGCTTTTATTGGATGTCATTCACTGGGGGGGGGGGGTCTGTTCACAGGGTATGTTCTCCAATGGTCCCAGCTTTGTGCCAGGGGGCAGGGATGTGTCCTCTTTGAACCTTGGCCGCCTGTGGTGATTGTCTGTTCATGCAGCTGATTGGTGGGGAACAGTGTTCCTCCTGCCTGCAGAGAAACACATGACCTCAGAACGGACACAGCAGCCACCACACAGCTGTACACGCCCAGAGGAGCCCAGGGTGTCACACAGGGGTGTGCACAAGGAGGACAGCAGTGCAGGACAAGAAAGGCAGACATACTGCAGCTCAGACAGAGGAGCGTGGTCTGGATGGCAACATGTGCTCCAACAGTAGACGAATACAAGTCTAATCACAGGAGAGCAGGGGACTGAGACACCTATCATTAGATAAAAAACAAACTGAAGGCACCACTGGTAAACTAGACATCCACTTTATAGATGACCAAGACACCTACACAAAAAAGAGCATAATCACAAGAAAGAAACTATTGCTTAGATTTGCTTGTCCTACTGTGATGTGTTGCTAGGCATTACTGTGGAACGTCTTTGAGGGATATTTAGGATCTTTGGATCGCAGTTTGTGACATATTTATCAAATAATCGATATTTAGTAAAGAGTTATTTGATGTATAGTTATTACAAAAAAAAGAAAGTTAAATTGCTTATTTTGCCAAATTTCTTTCTTATGGGTAACTTTACCTGTGTGTTCTGGGAATATTCCAGGAATACCTGCTTTAGACCTGTTGAGTTAAGTCAGAACAGGCTCTCTGTTCTGTTTTTTTTTTCTGTTGTTATCTGCTGCTGGATTCTGGCACTTCCAGCTCCTACGATTGTAAATCAGAATTGTCTCATTGAATCGGCAGTGTCAAAGTCCCGTCATGGTGTAGAACGCATGATTGCTGAGGACGTTAGTCGCAGAACAATCTGACCAAAGCTTAATCGGCCCATTTAGGCCCCCAAGTCTGCATCGGAGTCAATTTCCGTACTGCTTCTGAGAGAACAGTGGCCTATGGCAGTCTCTGATCACGTACTGTACGTACCTGGCAGGTACCTCCAAAAGATCAGGGTGAGTGAAAAGATACAGCAGTGCTGATGGTAACCTGCTGAAGCCTTGATATTAACATCTCCTCTGATAAGATCCCCCAAGAGACCGTTTCACAGAAATGTGACCAACTGCTGCAGACAGCAGCGGGGAAAATGGAGGGCCGAGAGGGGCCTGGCAGGCATGGCCAGTCACAGTGCCCCACAGACCGCACATTCCACTGGAGATTCACAGGCCTGAGTATCGTCAGCTTAGCCTCCCAACCTCAGTGCTCAGATCATTTCAAGGGTGGACTGACGGTTACCACAGCGGACATCTTCAAAATCAGCAGTGAAATACTGGCCAGACACAAGTGGAGACTACATGGAAGTGCAACTAAAACTGAGAATAGCACAGTTCTTTACACACAGGGTTATGGGAGTCTGGAACAAGCTACCCAGTCTCGTTGAAGCTGGCTTCCTTCGAGAAACAGCTGGGTGAGCTCCTTGGATAAACATGCTACTAACTACTAGACAGGCCAGAAGGGCCAAATGCTTCTCATGTGAAACCTTTCTAATGTAATCATTGTCTTAGTGGGACATTTTAAAGTATTTTTGACCATATTTACTGCATTTATAGATTTTAAAGACACACTTGATTCAAGGTAGATCATTTTTTTATTTTAATAATCAGACCAAATAAGGAGCAAAGTACTTGGACTAAAAAGAAAGTGAAATATTACTGCTACCCAGCATGAACTTGGTGACAGTGTTGATACGGAGTGATTTTAATTGATTGAAATTAAAAAGGTATCAAAAAACTTTCTTTTACCCTCATGCTAATCTTGAAGTGCAATTTCCATCTGCTACCAGAAGATGGCACTACTGCACATCGGAGACGGGGCAGCAGGCGAGTACTTGGTCGTTATGTGGAGACGGTTTGTTTTCTTTTTCACAGGGTCTTCCGCTTTTGCTCGAAAACAACATCTCCCATCATCTTTAACCGAAGAGCCTGTTCCGGCCATCTCCTTTCCAAAAGAACGGACTAGCAAAGATTTATTTCGGTTAGGCCTTAATCTTTGCCAGTCTAAAGAACGACCTCTAACCCCCCACCCAGTGGACAAAAGGTCTTGTGCCTGCCACCCCAGAAAAGGGCCTAGCTCCACTGAGGGCTCTCCCACATGGACTGTTCAAGGTGAATGAAGCTCAAGAACGGCACGTTTCAGAAAACCGTACTGTACTGGAAGCACAAGCAAGCCCCTCTCACCAGCAGTCCAGGCTCTGGCCTGTCGGGACAGGGCATTCCACTCTGCGATTCCACTGCTGCCTCCGTCATCATGGCAACAACCCTGGAAGAGGCCTGTCCCTGCCATAAGCTGTTATCACAATGTTGTTCTAATGCTAGTCAAACATTATTGTGAATAGACCAAACTCAATAGTGGCAGTGTTAGGCTGGAGAGTCAATATTAGCAGAGCAAACACAGTGGAATGGAGCTGCTATGTGTGTAGCTTTGTGTGGAGTGTATTCTCTAAGGGGGGGGGGGGACGACAACAATAAAAAAACGGAAAGAAAAACTTAATTACTTTTGCCTCGGGAGGGTTTCTGCGGAACAAAGAAAGCCATTCCGCTTTTTAATTTTTTTTTGGCGACTCCCAGATTCCATCTATTGTCCCGGGCTCTTACCCAGATGTCCACAGTCCACAGCAGGAAGGGGGGGGGGGGCTCTTTGTACTGAGGTGTACTGGGGTTCACCTAAAAAAAGACACTTTATTTCTTTAAAACACAGAACAACTGTGATGTGACACTTGGGCACTGCTCGTCTGCCCATGCCTGTCTCACTGACTGGTTAAATACTGGTTAGCACTGGGTCATTAGTCGCCAGCGTCTGACTTTCACCACACGTGTTCCACAGGGTAGTATCCAGATTTTCACAGGGGTTAATTTCTGATATCCTTAGATCATGAGCATGGAGAGACAGAGAGGGAGAGGAAGAGTGGGAGGAGAGGAGGGTGAACTGTATGGAAGCTGCATTTTTCTCTGACAGAAAAGAAATTAAAATATTATTCTGATGAAGCAAACCAAAGCTAGGCAGTTGCCTAATGTGTAATTAGAGTTTGACTGCACAAATGGAAAAAAGCAGGCAAACAGTTTAACCTATCGAGTGACAGCCCTCTGTGTCAGTGTTTATATAAGGCTTACTCACCAATCCGCCTTAATCTATAGGCTGTCCAGACAAACAAATAGACAAACATTGACAGTCCATGCACACACACTGATTTCAATACTGTGCTTCTGTCTGCCTGACTCCCACTGTGCTACATAGGGCTAAAGGAATTTTGTTATTAATTAGAGAACAAAACAAAACAGAAATCAATCCTCTTTTTTTAACCAACACGCGTCTGCTACCTATTACAGGGTGAATGTGATGTTTACAAGAAAGTAAATTAGTTGAGGATTAAAAAACGGCTAGATCTCCGATGACTTATTGCAATGAGGCAAAGAATAGTTTCCATTTAATCAGGACGGTTGTCTGGTTAAACCCAGTGACTTGGGATCCTAAGAGAAGACACATGGAGCTGGGAAAAAGCCCAGCTCAGCTTTCACACCATCCAGACAGCGCACAACCACACGATCGGAGAGGGCCGGTCGCTTTCTGTGATCCAGATCCCAGAAATGTATTTTTTATTCTGAGTCTGGAAATGAAAAAAAAAAAAGATTAAAACTGATTTGAACAACATGTTCACGAGGCCATACGTCAGCTGAAACTATGTAATGCCACCCTAAAAGTTAATGAAAATCAGGTATGTGTGTGTTTCAGCTTGAAAATGAAGTATTTATTTGTTTCCTTAAATGATTCTGTCTTATTTACCCTGTAACAGTAGATTTCTGCCTTAGCTAATCTGACTTAACTCATGGTTTTCGTAAAGCATCTTTTAAAATTGATATTGAAAGTTTTCTTTTTTGGTGAACACCTAGCCTCCAGTTGGTGAATAGTCCATCATATGTTTTCTCCAGTGTTAAACGAAGAAGGTCCTGCAATACCAGTCCAGTCCAGCTCAGAGTAGCCCACTGCCACAGTTTCAAACTATCCATTGCATAATTCAGGTGACATTTGCTACCCCAAGCAGCCAGCAGAGAGCTGTTGCAGCTGTTCCCTGCTGGCTGCGTGGTGCCTCAGTACCAGTGAAGTTGCCAGCTTTTCATCCTGTTCTCTCTGCTTTCCATGTAAACCGTCATTGCACTGTGTTGATAAACCACACCCCTTTCCCAATTATTTGACTTGGATGAGCAAAGCTCAAATATTTTCCTAGCATGTATCTGCTAAAGGACACTAATAGTTGTGCTCTTGCCGTGAAGATGCAATCACACCTGCAGTTCAGAAATGCAAATTTGACCAGAACTACTGTCTGGTGACAGTAAGGTTGAAACAAAAGACAAATTACAAAGAAGGGAAACAAATGGGAGGATCAATAACATATTTTCTGCAATCAGGGCAAATCAAATACAGACGGAGGTTATAGTACAGTGCACCTGCTGGAACAATGCACCAGTCAGTCAGTCTGCACATCTTCTCCGACTGGCATGAAATGAAGCTCACTTAGGTGAATCTGACTTCTAAATGACTGGCTCTGCTAGTAAAAGAAACATTTGAAGGCAAAGAGCTCAGGGAGAATGCTTATCAGGCACTGGCAGTCCAAAGTATCAGCCAGGTCGGCTGTTATGTCGGCTAGCTCTGCTCAGCTCCACGTGGCGCTCCACTGTAACCTCGCCCTGATCAAGACCGAACACTCGGGCTGCTGCAGACTCCTGCGGGTGGACGCTGGCTGTGTGCAGATTGATCTGAAACAGTCAAGCCCAGACACGCGGCCTTTGAAAACCACCTCATGCTGGACCAGCTTCTTAATTATTTAATTGGGTGGAAAACGAATCAATTAAATAATTCAAGAGCCAGCTGTAGGAGAGCAATAGGCATGGATTACGCATTTTCTTTTGTTTTAAAGTCCATCTTTGCATTTTATACAAAATATACAGTATATATTCGACCTGTTGTAACCTTTGCTCCTCCACAAAACAAGGCCAACTGAAACACATCCCCAAAACTGACCCTCATCAAAAACCATTCAGCCCCTCCACGCTGCAAACTTGACAACGTGTGCAGCACAGCTCCACCTCGGCCCGCGCGCAGAAATGCTGACGCTAAAAAAGTGCCATATTAGCTAATGCAGTACTTAAAGACCATAATTTTTCCTTTCACATCGTTAATGAATGCTAATTAGAAGTCTTGCTTTTTGCATTAGCTGGCTGCGTTTCTAATGTGCCGTATTGTTTCTGTTCTCGCTTCAGCTCGGCTGTAATGCTGCCGCTGCCACTGCTGCACTGCCTGTAAAAGCCAGCCGCTCCGTCAGAGAGGCTGCCAGCTAAAAGCGGGTAATGGCTCAGCCACAAAATTGCACATTTCCATGATCATTATGTTATCTGTACACTCAGCGGTGAGATGCGGCGATATTGCTGCAGCGGGGGGAATCTCGCGCTCCGTCAGCACGTATCTGGGCTGTTCTGCACCTCCCCGGCGTTCGTTCCCAGTCCTCACCCTGGTGTGTGAACCCGGAGCTTGCCTGGAGAAGCCAATCGCCCGCAGGCCAGCGCCGTCAAGCCTGGACAGAGTCCTGCCTCCAACTGGCTGAGCGGGGCACCCTCTCTGTGGGCTGGTCCACCTGGCAGGTCGTGACAGGCTGTAATTTCCAGTGCACATCCATTACATCTGTGTGTGGAGGGATCACAGTATCCTGTTTCAAAAAAACAACACCCAGCACCTCTTTAAGGCATATTTAATTTGGGTGTTTAAACGTTGCAGCTCTGGGCCTCGGGTTGTTTCTCATGTTGGCCCTGGGTGAGGCGTCAAAGCAGAGAGGTAATTGCAGCCATCAAATGTTTATCCATTAAATGATGCGCTACGCCTCTGTCATAAAGCCGTGCCTGTTCTTGGCTGCTGATCTGCAGCATCGCAGACTTTGACTGCTGTAATTTTGCTGTCAGATGATGGCGGATTAAGTACACAGCAGAGTTTCCAGCACCCCCCCTCCCTCGCAATTCCTAATCTCTCCGCGCACCTGCCCTGCAGACTGCTTTCATCGGAGAAATCGAAGACGCTCTCCTTCACGCCGAGCGGCCCTGCCGAGAGTGGGAGGCAGGGTGGCAGTGGCAGCGCGAGGAGGGAGGCACAAAGCCGCGTACTTCTGAGACCTCCCCGGTGGGGGGGAAAAAAAAAACTGAACCAGGAAAACTGTCTGTGGGAATAAAAAATGGCAACAAAGCCAGAGCAGACAGAACCCTGCCGGTCTGGGAAGAAGCAGAGAAAAAAAACAAGCGAATGCAGCAATAGGTGTATGAAGATCATGTCATAGAGCAGGCCGCGTTTCAGAAGGAGAATTTAGGAAGCACTTTAAGCAAGCCAACACGTTCTCATGCCAAAAAGCTCTCGGTTTGCCGCCAGAGAACTGGGAAGAGGAGGTGTCGTGAAAGTGCCGAGTTAAAATAAGGGGGGTTCCTTGTTTTTGAAAGTGGTTTTCAAAGCAGGACCCCACCTTGCATAGCTCAGACATCTGAGTTTCAAACACCCCTTAGCAAGCACCTTCTGTCTGGCCTAGCAGAACTCGGTGAACGATGTCACGAGCGGGGCTGCTGGGCGGAGACTGGGTGCCGTGTCAGTCCCAGGCAGTACAGCTGGCTCCCTGCAGTGAGGCGGCAGCGCCGCTGCTTCTGCTGTTTCCACGGCAAGTGTGGATGAAAGGATCAACCTTGCTTAGGGAACGGGGAGAGATTTATAGCCAACGGCAGCCCGGCCAGCACACACGGAGCATGGTCAAAAAAAAAAAACCTAGGTAGATAAAGCATCCTTTCACGGGCAGGCGTGTGGGAAATCTCCGCCACTCTCACACGGCGCTTCGCGTGGAAGACCAAGATAAACCCACCGCTCTCCCGCCTCCATGGCTGTTTCCTGGCTGTTTACATTCTTCCGACCGCTCTGAAAGCTACTCCCACATTCCTGCGAACTGTGAGACCGAGGCATCTCGGCGGCGTTGGGCGGGAAGGCTTTTGTCCAGGGGCTCGGCTCCTGCAGCGCTTCGCTTTAGCCAGAGGATGGCACAGCCTGGCCTCCTTGTCTCCTCCGCAGCGCCAGCCCGCCGACAGGCTCCCTCCAACTGTGTGGGTTTTACCATTCAACAGGTCCCTCCCTACAATTCATTTACTCGCATTTCAAGAGCACTTCAGCCTCGGCAAGATGATTTTTTTTTCCTCCAATGGGAACTTGGCCCAAGATCTCAAATTTGGCGGCTGAATGGACAAGTGACCTTTACCCCAGTGCGTAAGTGTCACCAAGCACATTTAAAACGCGTGATACAAAAGTGAATTAGGGAACTGCTTTTATATTTATCATGTGAGAGAGATTAGTCCCGAAACGGCACTGCTGGTATACACTAGGTACACAGAATGAAGGCGTGTGAAGACAAGTTTGGGTTTCCTGCCTCATTACGGCTCAGAGTGAATGATATCAATTTCACAGGCGTGACTGGAAGACAGCAAAACACAAGCTTGAAATATCTTGGACTTGCTCATAATAGCGAAGGCAGAGCTGCAGCGAAGTGAAATAGAGCTGGCGGTTATGGGAAAAACACTGAGAGCAACAGGAGAGCTGTACTACCGACACAGCGGGGAGCAGGAGGGGGAGAGAGGGTCACTCAGGGTCAGAACTATCAGGATTTGCTTTTGCTAACATGTGTTCGGAGACGTGATATGCTAGAGTGGAGTATGATTTTGTTCCCCGAGCTAGCCCGAGCCAAAAGCACATTTTCTGGGCTTTCTTGCGCTGGTGTTGAACTCGAGGTGACGGCGCGGCCCCCCAGCAGTGGCGCGAGGGTGTAGATGTCACCTGGCTACCGCTCAGTGGGGCGCAGAGGGCGAGAAGGATCAGAACGAGAAGCAGGAGGCTGCCCTGGAGTCTCCTCTTTCGCTCCTTGCACAAAATGCAGCAGGAAGGCAGTTCAGAGGCAACGCAACGTCCTGTTCGATTTACCTCATGTTCAACCCTGTCCCTAAAGTGAAAAAAGAGAGGCCTGGGAATGGTCACACAATCTGGCTAAGGTTCGTCTAGAAAAACTCATATCTCTGTGTATTTAAAGAATAGGACCCTGGAGGGTTTTTTTTTTGTGTTGGCCATTCAAAGTGTTAATTTTTAAATTAAGTTTTAATTGTGCTTTTTTTTTTTCTTTGGGAAAGCTTATCATGTCAGTTCCTGCATTAAGATGGCCGCTCTCACGCCGGGAGGAAGCGTTCATTATTGCGATCGCGATTTGTGTGATCATTAGAATCACACAGAGGCTTTGTATCTGTGCATTTTAACTTGAAATGGTCCAATCAATTGTGGTTGTTCTGTGGCGACCAACTGTATTTCTGAGACAAGCTATGATTAATCAGTGTACTGACTCTACAAGGACTGCTAGAGGGATCTTCCAACGTGTATTAAATATAGCTGTTATGAGAAAGGTCTGCAATTTTCACAAATGGAGCATCTGAACTCAGGGCCTTATTTAGCCTGTGGTTTATACCTGGAATAAATGAGACAGATTCAGCTTGATATAGCAACTATGGTATAGTTAGAAAAATGATGTGCAAAGTTCATGAAAGTTTGCCAAAATGGATATATTTTTTAAAATGGCACGCTTGGGAATAGATCTAATTTGGGGGGGAAATTGAAGCTCCAACCATGAAATTACCTCCCATTAATCATGAGCAGCTTTGAGGCGAAGTTAACAAATGAATTTTTATTGCTTCTTAATTACTTTCAGTCCACAGGAATCCCTGCCAAAACTAACCTTTTTGTAATTTGTTTCTGCGTTCTCTCTATTCCTCCCTCCCTTGATCTCTCTTGTTGCCTGTTTAAATCTCTCACACATTTCCATTTTAAGAGCTCCTGTGAGTGATGCCCACATCCCTACAGGCCTGTGGGGAAAGGAGATTTCGACTGGCTTCACTATTCAGACGTCCTGTTTAATTCCACATAGCAGCCCTGGACTGCTGTTCATTTTGTAACAGTCAATTTCAAACCCAATGAATGGGTCACCTAGAATCACTGCAGTTCCCTGTAAGTTTGAAACAAATAAACAAAATCTCAATATAATTTCTTCACTGTGATTTGATTTTCCATGCACAACCTCCAAGAGAACAAAGCAGAAATGATGCTTTTTGTTTTTGGAAGCATGGGGGGGTGCAGTGATTAGCAGTACTGACTTGCAGAGCCGGGGCCCTGGATTGAATTCCTAGGGGTACAATCTGCTTGGAGTTTGTATGTACTCCCTGTGATTGTGTGGGTTTCCTGCAGGTGATCTGGCCCATAGACCAAAGACATACTAGCAGGTTACTTGGCTTCTGGGAACACTGGCTCTGGCGTGAGTGTCTATGTGTGCACTGTGATGAACTAGTAAAGAAACTGTGATAAAGGGGGTGGAGACTGGGGTGTGAGGGTTGGGTAGTGGAGGCTAGGGGTTAGAGACTGGGGTGTAGAGGCTGGGGGATGAAGGCCAGAGGGTAGAGGCCTTGGGATGAAGGGAGGGCTTGGAGAATGGGTTGTGAAGGTTGGTTGTTGAAGACTGGAGGATGAAGGGGTTGGAGACTGGGGTGTGGAGGCTGCAGGTTGAAGGCTAGAGAGGTGGCGGCTGGGGGATTGAAGGGTGGGAGTTGGAGGCTGGGTGTTGCTCATCGATTTGCATGCAATGTTCAGCCCAATTAAAATAATTTAAATAAGGGGTACAGGGTTGTGGCTCTAAATCAATGACCAGGGCAGGTAGGTTCATCTCCCCAGTGTGCAAAAATTTACCAGTTGATTTAGTCAGCCCAGCTGGGACTTTATCATTGTGGGACCGTTCTGCCACTTTTTGTACTCTCTGTTTGCTTAACGCTTCAGAAACTGTGATGATCTCAAGCTTTATGTCTGTGAAAGACTTTAACCCAATCTTAATCATTTACACAGCAGCTATGGGAACAAGCACGGCCATTGTCATCGCAATTTAATTGTATAAAACTATTATCCACCCTGAAATACCAGATTAAAATGCACTACCCATTATTGTGTTGTCAATAAAAATCACTTAATAATTCATATGTCTTTGGAGGCGATTTGTTTCCTGCTGCCCAGTGCCTTCGTTAATGCTGTCATGCTGTTATGCTCAGTGTTTTCTACCATTTCCCCCAGCTCACCGCTTTCTTTGTCATATAATATGTCTTTATTGCTCCTGATTGCCTCTGCTGACATTTGAACAGAGCTGTTGTCTCCTGTGGATCATTAGTGCCTGTGGTGTCTCCTTCATTTCTTTGTCATACTAATCACCATTAGGTTGCTAATTGACTGCCTGGACTGGAAACCACTCTCCTGTCATAAAAATAAAGAGGATCTGGCCCTGAGAGCCCTGTATGTGTGCACTGAAGACAGAAATGGAAACATAGGAAGCAGACTGTGTAGTTGTAGCAGTCAATTCTTCTTGTTTACCCCCCCGACATTATCAAGGCACTGACTGAGCTCTCAAGCCATGCTGCAGAGGAGTGTATGCTGCAATCTCTTAAAACTCAGCTGGCCAGTGAGAATCGGTGTACTCCTTATTACACAGGAGAAAGGTGAGATCTGATGGGCTGAACAGACTGTTTTCCTCCTCAGAGTTTCTCTGTTTTGCCAGCTGGAACAGCCAGATTCACAAACACTTCCCTGTGGGAAACCACAACACTGCCTGGCACCGGGATTGCTGATTGCCTGACTTCTAATATTAGGACAAACTGTACTTGCAAAAACTGCCAAAATGCAATAAGCATTGCTTTTATTTACAATGGTGTATAGTGATAATTCTGAAAATATAAAAAGGGCCTACACCTGTTCTGGTTCCAAACTGCACAAGCAAACAGTATCCACGCTACATTTCGTGACCTTCTAACTGTCCAGAAGCAGGGAGCTGCAGAGCCTCATCCAAGAGCAAACACAGATGGTTAGACAACACAGCTCTCTCTACCCATTCACATTGCATTCAAAATGCAATCACTACATGTAATAACTACACACATAGAGATGTAATTACAATGTTATTACATGGAATTTCTTGTCTTCCTTCAGTGCATATTTGCCATTTGTGTGAGAAATAGATAATCAACAGGCATTTTTAGAATTGATGTGCACAGCACATGAAATTTAACATTA